GTCATCTAATATTTTTTCTAATCATCAAACCCATATATCATAATTTCATTTTTTTCTGTTTCACGCAAAAAGTCCAAAAGGGGTTTCCAATTGCGGGTAACGTCAAATCCTTCGACTGTTGTGCATATAAAAGTCTTGCTGCTGTTATCATGTATAACACCAGAGTTAATGTATATTTAAATTGCCCCTACTTATTCTAAACGTCATTCTATCTTCCACAGTTCAATCCAGGACTTTAAAATTACTGAGATGTGGCAAGAACATAATGGCTTCCTTGAATCTCATGGCAGTCTCATATAAAAGTAAAAAAGTAAAAAGTTTTCAACCTATACTCATGTTTAAATAGCAAACACTGTCAATCAAACATGTGATAAATCCTTTGATAATAGACAGCTTTATGCTCCAGCTTTCATTCCTCTCTGCCCTGATCTCATCATTATACGGCCTTGGAGCATGGCATAAGAGTCTCCTTCATTCTAATGTACACCAGCAATAATCCTGTAACTGGAGGAAAAGGGGGACTGCTTCATACTGACTTTGTATCTAACTAATGTTTCAATATATTCTATTACATGAATGAGAAACCCTAGTTCCAATTTCTCCTGCTGTGCTAGCTGGATTTTAATTGGATATTATCTGACATAGTAATTCTTGCTTTTCACAGTTGTGTCCTATTCCCTATGTGCAGTTTTACAATGTCCTTGAAGCAGATAGCTTAATAAATCAGCAGTACTCAATGACAAAAAGGAACCAGGTAGGAAACCATCAATAAGCAAAAGTAGGTCAGTTAAAAACCCTCCAGGAAACATAGATATGACATACACACAGTTCCATCAAATGTTTTATCTAAACTGAAATGACAAAGAACATCATATGATTCTCTCACGTCACAGGGAGTAAGTTAAAGCCCTTTAAAATACCAGTCAGATTATTTCCCACCAATAATTTGAAGGAAATACCACAAAATATATCTGGATTTTCCTTATTTTTAGCTTGTCTTCAAGCTACTGACATGAAGATTTAACTGAATGCAAATTGGCGACTGTTGCTCAAGGAAAGTATAGGAATCCAACATTCCTAAATCAAGTCAAGAAAAGAATAATGTAATGGTACTAAAAGTTGGACAAGAGAGAATTATGCAACTGTACTCTATGTATATGTCAAAAGATTTATTTTCTGTATGTCTTTCTTTCTGTTCTTGTCCCCAGAGTTGATGTGCTCAGCTCTTACTGGCCATGAAAGAGACCTATCCATCTAAATATTATACCTATTGATGGAAGAAGATAATACATTTAATAAAATCATCCTTGATAGACATACAATATGCTTCTAGTAGTGCCTTTTTTATGCTTAGTTTTCTGGAAACAAGACTGTAATGCTGAAAGCACCATGAGACTGTATAGAAAAAAGGCAGCCAGACCAATACACAGTCACAACCTCACAGCATTTGCTGATAATGATGATACTGTAATTGTAGACCAATACTTCTGGAGAATATTAATTCAGGAAAATCTGCTTTAAAATGCTATGAGTTATTCCAAGGGTTCTAAAATTAACAGACCCATCTGAATACACCACACACCATGTGTTGTACCTTGTAAGTTGAGCACAAGAACTCAGAACAGGCCTGAGTATCACACCAAACATTATATTTACAAATATGCTATTGCAAGAATAATCTGGTGCTCTCTAAATGGTTTGAGACAAAGCAGATCAATCTCGGTCTGCAACTCCAGATTCCTACTCCTATTCTAGGAGTAACATTCCAAAGAATTAAAGGCATTGTCCAGAGTAGGCAATCAAGGCCAGAGAGAGGTGCACAAAGTCAGAAAACTATCTAGGAAAAACAGAAAATCAGGAGGGCTGTGAACAGTTACATATTTAAAGACAAGCAGAGGTCAATATCCAAAGCAATCATCAAGAAAAAACAGAGAGCCATACTTAGTGTTTTCTGAGTACATTAAAGTGTTCTTTCAGTGACAGGAGGATAAATATCTTATTTAAAAAAAATCAGAAGAGAACTGGTAGATCAACAGAATTAGCTCTGGGAATTAAATGAGAGTGTCCATGCAAGCTTGAATCTAACCCAGGATACTACACTTGAATCAGAAAATTTAGTATGCTATAATTGTAGTGAGACCAAAATCATTCTCTATAATTTACAAGTATACTCCTCTGAAACTTTTTATTCTGTCTTTAGGCTTTATTCATGATTGTTAATAAAAAATATTTGGTGTCCAAAAAAAAGAGGTTTAAGGTGACTTTCAATAGTGAAGGCTAACACAACTGAAGTTATGATTATATGGAACAGATGTGGAGCGGTACTAATCTCTTAAGGAGCATAAAAGAGCAATGTTAACATAGTAGGTCAGGAGCCAGATGTGAGCTACAGTAGTGGTGCCCAACTTTTTTCTTTATGCAGACCACCAGATCATCATCAAAAGTTTTTAAGGATTACCACATAAGCCACAAGGCATATTTCTCTCCTGAAATGGCATATGCAGAATCACAAAAATTAAACAAATGACCCAAATCTGACAAGATGATAAACTATTATAAACTTGTGAGACTTGATTATATCCTTTCTCCCACTTTTTAAAATTTATTCATTCATTCATTCATTCATTCATTCATTCATTTTATACGGCCGTCCATCTCAAACACGTGACTCTGGGTGGCAAACAATCATAAAATCAATTAAAAACCAAATTAAAATCACAGTACTAAAAATTAAATACCTACAGCAGCCAAGAAAAATATTACAATCCATACATGTTAACATAACCAGGAAACAAGGCCCTTCACACACT